ACTTAATCCAGATAAGAGGACATGTAAAGCAGAAATCCATCAGACATGTACATTTTATACAAATATACATATTCAGGTTCTGAAAGTGCTTTCCCAGAATTACCTCTCCTCAATGGACCTCCTGTCCTACTCAACATGACAGTGGTGTCCTAGTAGCACCCTCCAACCCATATTGGCCCGTTATATTCCACTACAGTGGTCCCCCAGTCATTACCTCATATCATACCACTTTGGTCCCCCAGTATTACCCCCGACTATTATGCTCCCCCAATAAAACCTACACCAAGATGGTCCCCTAATATTACCACTGCCATAATAGGGTCCCCCAGTATTACTCCATCACCCCCCGCCATGACAAAGTGCACTCAGTCATACCCCACAGCAGAACATATTGGTCCACCAGTGTAGTCGTCCCTCCATGCCGCCACCACCATTATGGTCCTCTAATCACACTGCCCCACCAAAATGGCCTTCTAGTATTATCACTACTATAACAGCTCCCCTTATCATACCTCACAACCCAATTAACAACGGTGGTCCCCTAGTATTACCCACTCTCCATCACACACACTATAATGGGCCCCTAGATGTGCACCTCTTTATAACCAACCCCACACTACAACAGCTTCCTAGCACAATCTCACCACCATAATAGGCCCTCTATCATACCCCACGCCACAATGGTCCCCTAGTAATACCACAATCATATGTCCTCAGTTATACCCCACTACAATGGTCCCCCTTTAATACTCCATCACCACGATAATGGGCACCCAATCATACCCCCAGAGCACACCACATTGGTCAACCAGTATTGCTAAATTCTATCACCAGAATTAAATCCATATTGGATCAGCACAGTTTGTGTCTCCATCTAAATCCATACAGGGGTTGCTGAGCCTTGGTGCTGGATAGCTAGCCCTGCCCACCCACCTATCAGACAACACAGATCAAAGAAGATGGGGCATGACAGTGCACACAGATTCACAAAGTGGGTGGGGGTGAATACAGTGGGTGTGGTCCCAGAAATGTTTTGGCAGCATCCAATGACCTGAAGGTAATAGCTTATAACCCATGGTCTAAGAATCAATTCCTGTGCTCTCTACTGTACTGTTTAGATGAGTCTTTTTGATTTTGCCAAATCTTTAGTGCCTATAGGGGATTGTTTTAGGTGTGGATAATTAATCGCTTCTAGGCAAAGACTAGTATGCACTTGGTCAGTCGGTGCACCCACAGTGGAAAGCATCTGTCAAAAGTCAAAGCTTGCAGCTCATAAAATGCAGGGGTTGAAGAATCCATTGCAGCTTCTGCTACAATATCTGCGTCCCCATCACTTTTCCCATTTCATCCTCAAATAGGCTTGAAGTTTTATTCATGAACAGAGCTCACTGGGAGAAAGAAAGTGTAGTGTTTTTGGTTCCTGGAAACCAAGGGTCCTAGGAGTGCCAAACATTTTCTGAAGAATTCAGATGTACTGGCAGAGAGAACTACTTTTGTGAGATAGGCCACATATTGCGTCCCTGAGAGGGAGTTATAGTCCGATGAGGAGAGCCTGTAATATAATAGAATATTATTCTGGGACAAGGGAACAGCTACTATCCTAAGAGATGTTCTGAGGTGTTCCTCAGGTGTTAGTCAGCCTTTTTTGTCCAAGCTCCCTTGGGCCTGTGATCCACCATTGCTAAAGTGAGGTAATCCCCAATGGGGTGCTCACGGAATGGGATGTGGTAAAATGGGGCTGGAATGCAGGAAGCACAACACAGATGCTGCCCCTGTTCCTGTGTCTCTGTAACAGAAGGCATATTTTGCAGCTGATGTTGCAGGCAGAAGTGCAGCAGCCATGAGGCGTGTTGTAACTGTCCTCATCCTAAGACTAAGATAAAAGGGAATAATTAATGATTTCTCTTCCTCCGCAATCTGTGCTAATCACGGAGGGACGTCTATTAATAGGAAGGAACTGATGCACAATACAGGGAAACCCTGTCTTGCCCCCTGCAGATAGCTGGTCTATTAGGGGTCCAGGCTTTACCCATCACAGTGGATATAGCGCCAAAGGGGTCTTCAAGGTAGGGGAACCATAGAAATAGACAACAGCCCTGAAACTGTATAGCATGTTGCAGCTAACTGCAAGAGTAGTACTTCATTCCAAGGTGAGTGCCCAAATCACAGTGGGGTCCAGTTACAGTCCCCAAGGTATAACACAGAGGGTTAATTTAATCTAGAAATTGCTAGAAATCCCAGGGCAATATGCAGTCAGATCTTGATAGAAGTGTCAGAAAAAAGAGTTTAAAGAAAAAAAAAAAAAAAAAAAACAGATCACCTAAGGACACTAGGAAAAAAACTAGTGTCTCAAGGGTTGGGTAGTGTTATGTGCATATACGTTAGGGGCAGCCTAGCAGGTTTGTCTAATGTCTGATCACCTGAAAGTAGTTTGCATATAAGCCATGGTCGATAAATACAAGCCCATGTCCTGTACTGGACTAATGTAGATAAATGTTTTGGGTACAGCTTCAGTAATATAATTTACCAGTAATGAACTGCATCTCACATCCTGCTGAGTGCTCAGAATCTTCACTAACAAAGTTGGGTCCTCTTTAGAGTGCTGGGTTTCTGCTGCTGCATGGGTTAACTGCCTCAGGTGCAACATTAAAGTTCATTTAAAAACAGGCATCTGACCTTTTCTGTCCTCTCCTTCATTCACAACACTCCTTGCATGGTTTTCACAGAGTGATCCACAATCTTGATAACAATGCAAGACCTCTTGTGAATGAAGGAGAGGAAAGAAAGGGGCGGGCAGCTGTCAGGACTTTTTCAATGTTATACTTGAGTCAGTTAACCCATGCGTCGTCAAGTTTGGCAGTAACCCATGCAATGGCAATCTGCAGTACTTAGGATACATTTAATTACAGGTAAGTTTTGTGACTAAATCTAACACCTCCACAAAAAAAAAAAAAACCTAAAAAAAATAAACTTCAGTTTTAAAACAAAAAAAAAAAAAAAAAACACCCAATGTTTTGTTCTCTATACACCGATTTGTGGTATTAATCTTTGGTACTGCTGAAAATCCATTTAATCACTATTAGGAGTTCAATATGCCAGTTCAATCTGGGATTGTGGTATCTTTTTTCTATGCAAGTTTTTGCTGAGGTTACGAGTGTGCAGCATTAAAAGAGTGATAAGACCTCTAGTAGACCAGAAAATTTGAAGACACATGAAAATACCAAGCTTTTCTACATTCAGTATGCCGATTCCCTTGGTGTAATAGATTCACGTAAAAGCATTAAAACCATGTTGTGCAGGTCTATGAGCTCCACATTTATCCTCTATTTTAAGAGAAAGCTGGCAGAACCAATGCAAAGATAACCTGTTTCATCTTTCTTCTGAAAAGGATAAAAATAAACTTTGTTTTAAATAGATTTAGTACTATAAAAGCAGCATCAAGCTAAGAATAGCAAAGAGAACTCAATAATCTGAATGTTATAGGATAAACAAGTGGCCCAATATCCTCCTTACTCAAAATAATTCACACAAAACACAATACATTTCTTTACAAAACTTTCTTGTAAAATAAAAGAAAAAAGGGAGAATCAAAGTTATACAATCTCATACACTAATGTTCACATTTAAGATTTGCATCTTGGTTCTTTGGAAGGGTGCAAGAAAAGTGACAGAAAACCTTGGACCCTTTTCATTAAGTCCTGTCTTATACCTGATAGTTACTTCAAAAAGAAGTTACTGTGCAAGAAGCAAGCCCTCATTTGCAGCAGGGCACCTGCAATTATTACTGCCAATAACACTGGGCAACACTCATTGCTAAAGTTCTCATTAAAGAGTAAATCTTAAAAAAAAAAAAATAAAAAGTGTGTGCGCGCACATTTAGACCAAGAGGACTCAAATCTACTATTTAGGACCAAATGAACTACAGCCCATATCATTACATCAGTCCTCTGAATGACAATGAGATGTAGTTCACCGGCTCACCTGCCTACATGATTACTTTTTTTTGCTATATCTGAACTTATTCTGTACAAAAAAATATACACAGCTGTAGAACGCTACATGTATTAGAACATTGTGATATAAATTACATTTTAAAATATTACCATTTGTGTAACTGTAAACTGATAAAGTATTTAAACGTATTAGGGTTAATACAAATAAAGACACAATGCTGTTATCTATCCAATGTTTTAAGCAAGGAGTTGTTTCCTCTTCCAGCAGTAATAGGCTTATTATCTGAATACAGGATTTTAGATCTATAAAAATGTCCCACTGTAGAATAAGTCGTGTTCATATAAAAATAGTTAAGATGCCAAAATGCTCTAATTTTTTAACCTGATTCAGAAAGTCCTCTATGAAATCAAGAGGCTGTGGGTGACATTAAGGGATTTTTTTTGTCAACTGCACCCACAAAGGCAACAAATGTGAAACCTGTTATTCCAGTTATGGCTTTTTTCTCCATTGTGGTTGGTCATCAGTAGATAGGGTTGTACGCCCCTTGTGTGATTATATGAACATGTATTTATCATGCACACGCTCTGTTCTTCTCCAATAGATGTACGCTCAAGTTAAATGTAAGCCTGGTAATTACATGGATTTGTGCTATTGTGAATAGTAATCTACCTAGTCCATACAGTAAATAGCTATGCCATTAAAGTTCTGCCGCCAGTGTCCACTACTCCTCCACATAATGATTATTTATACACAATAACAGACAATATGTATCTGGACCTAAAGTGAACTGTTTCATGGTGAAGCTCCGTAAGATCCTAGCAGGCTCAGTTCTGCTATTCCAATACATGATGACTTGAACTCCTGGAATTCCGAGGCTTGAGCAAACAAAGTTTGATGCTTTTGAAAAAAAAGAAAGTTTTTTTTTTTTTCCTTTAAAAGTCCAATCATAAGAAAAATCTAAACAGTCCAACGCATCATTTACTTTTGTAAAATGTCCAGGATCAACCCATAAAAAGGCATAAGATGGCTTATGTCCTATATGCACCTCAACTGGGTTTTGTGGGAGCTTTAATCCTGACTGTCTGGGTTCGTACTTGCAACTTTGCCTGCTGACTTTGGACCTCTGATGTGCTGGATACAGGTGCTGAAGTCTGGCTTGTTGGAGCCTGAAGCTGTTGTGAAGCAGTAGCTGCCATTACTTGGTGCTGTAAAAGCTTTTGTTGCACCACATGGGCTGCAGCTGTGCCTGCTGGTATCACCTGTACCTGTTGTGGGCCTGCAGCTGTAGCCTGGGTCAAAGTCACAGTTTGTGGCTGAACCTGTGGGTTACAAAAATCATTACCAATGTGAGTTCAATTAAATAACACATTAAAAGACATTAAGCCCCCAGGTCACATCGGGTGCGATTTGGCACGCAATTTGCATGCTAGGCGACTTGCAAATCGTATGCCAAGTCGCACCCTGTTGTCCGCTATTAGAGTGTTCATATCGGTGCGGTTCTGACTTGGTTGGAGCCGCACCGATTTCTAAGGTAGAACATGCACTAATTTTGTTGCGATTTGCATAGATATCTGTGTCAGATGTCTTGCAAATCACAAGGAAATCGGCAGGTCACCCAATTTTGAAATTGTGCGACTTCATTTCAAAATCGGCTTTGATGTGACCGGGATGTAGTACAATATGCTTGATGGAAACCAGCAATGAGAGAAATATGGAAGCTAACCTGTTTAAATGAAAATGTTTCCTACCTAGCTGTCATGCCAATCCAATTACTTTACTTGCCCTAGGGCAGGCATGTCCAAAGTCCGGCCCGCGAGCCATTTACGGCCCGGGGGTCGGTTTATTACGGCCCTCCAACAGCCCTCCCTGCTCTGTGTAACGTGGCCCTCCCTTCTATGGCAGACAGTCTTCTGCTTGAGAGCAGAGGGCAGTGCGCATGCCTGACTGCGGCGTGTTCTCCCTGGTCTGTGTAAATGCGGCTGTCGCACGGCCCTCCCTTCTGTGGCAGACAGTCTTCTGCTTGAGAGCAGTGAGCATGCGTGACTGTGCCGCGCTGGGGAGCGACAGAGGGCGGTGACGTCAGGGCCGGGCTTCCAGCGTGAAGTGTGTTTCTCTTCCCCTCCCGGCTGCCGAGCAGAGACTTCAGCTCCAGCTACCTTTTTCACCCTTCACATTAGTGCAGGTAAGTTTTTTTAAAATTTATTTTCAATACATTGTGAAAACTCAGCTGTCAGTTGATCTTAATGTTATGAAATGAAAAGTATGTCGTTTGCAATTAACTTGGCATAAAAATAATTTATTTGTATTTAATTGTAATGGTTCAAAGAATGTTTGGAAAAATGTTCGGCCCTCCACCATGTTCACTTCATCCAATCTGGCCCTCTTTGAAAAAAGTTTGGACACCCCTGCCCTAGGGTCTGTCACCTAAAAAGTATTAAACAATACAGATTTTACCAACTGCATGCTTGTTCTAGATCACTGACTTAGTAAGTAATAAATGCAGAGGCAGATAGCATTTTCAAAAGGATATCAACAGTGGTAACCAATATTGGGACAAACGTTGGCTATGTACCAATAATACATTAGTCTGGGGTTGTGCATCCAACAGACATACACCAATATTAAGCCGATTAGTGAAATATCTTTTCACACTTGCGAATGCACCTGCATGGCGACAACGCGAAAACCTCAGCAGGGGTTCCCACCATTAACTGCGAGAGGCAGCGCCATTGAAACAATGGGAGACGCCGAATCACTCATGCAGCGATCACATGCGAGTGACCAGTGCTGGACACAGACTGTTATTAAAGTTATAAAAGGTCAGAGTCCTTTTAAACAGCAGGGATGGGCTCTAGTGGAGGATTAGCCCTCTTTCAAAGTGGACAGCTCAAGGAAACACCCAGTAATACAAAGAAAAGGAAAGACATAGTGCTCTCTGCATTTAAAAATCAAAGGTATTTATGAAAACTCACATTAACCACTATTGTCGTTCTGGTTTGGACGTCATATGACATCCTCCCGAAATACGCCACAGGCAGTGTTGCGGCGTGATCTGTCACCGTCTGTCCACTGGTCAAATCCGATGACTGAGCAGTGTATTGGCCCCCTGCTAGTACCATGTGATCGCTGTGACCAATCACAGCAGATCACATGACAAATGTAAAAAACGAATGGCTTTGATTCATGCTTTCATGCTGTTCATTGTATACAATTGTGTCACTAGCTGTGATTAGTCACAGTGATCACATAGTACAGACAGGGCCAATCATATCTCATCTGTACCATGTGATTTGTTGTGGCCAACAATACACACTGAATGAATCAATTTAATTCAGGAAAAATAGTTGCTTATATCAGTGAAATTCACTGGTATAAGAAATCATAGCCACTTGCCAACTGCAATACATATATATACACATTGCGGTTAGCAAATATATCAGCCATAATTCTGAAATCTTTTTCTTCAGCCAGTGGCCAAGGGTTATCGTCTCTGATCGCCTCTATGGCCTTGGTGGACCAGAGCGATGTCATGACGTCATGTCCGGTCTAGGGTGGATGTAAACAATTAAAAAAAAAAAACAAACAAAAGATGAAATTTTTTTTTTTTTTTTTTTAATTTTGATTTTAAAAGGTAAAAGGAGAGATTTGGGGTCTGCACATGACCCCTTACAGACACTGGTGAAAAAACAGATACCTCCTGTGTAGGAGGGGTTATATAAAAATCCAGTTTTATTGATCTGCCAGTGTCCTTTCACCTCTAGGTAGCATATAAACACACATAATCATGATTATAGCCTGTGTATGTCTCGTGATGTACGATAAAGAAAAATTTATTAAAAAAGAAAAGAAAAAAAACAAATGAATCAAGCGAACCCCACACTGTTTCAAGACCACTACAGATTGGAGTAACACCTTCATAGCTGGTCACGCTCAGGCGAAAACAAGTCCTGCACCACACTGTACAGGGCCCAAAGTTGCGACAGCAGAGGATTGAAGGGGAAAAAAATTGCATTCTATGGTCAAACACAATCCTGTCACGGACTTACTTGTCAGGAAGGAGTCCACGTGGCTGAAAATCAGCAAAGACAATCTCCTACCCTGGAACGGGTGGGATAAACCTTCATGCTGAGCTGGACTTAACTGCGGGTCTGTTGGACTAGTGGATCCAGGAGCACTTGGCCCCATCAGCGGGGGCCGTGACAGGCTCAGGACCCTTGTCAAAAGGGAACCAGAGGAAAGTGCAAAGGGGAATGCCAGGATTCCCTGCAAGTGCACAAGCAGGCTCTCTATATAAAAAGGGGGCAAAGATAGGCTGTGTCTGTATACACATCACAAATCCAAGCTGTCTGTAGAATTCAATATCTGCAGTGTGGGGAGGAGGAGCTCAGATAAGTGCTGTGTGTGCAGTGACAGGATGAGAGGAGCAGCTCAGCAGCCACAGAGTCCACAGACGGAAGAGGGGGTAAAACTAAAATCTGGGGAAGAAGGAGCCCTCCCCAACAGCCTCAGAACCAGACATGCTTACAACACTTCTGTTCAAGCAGTTAATTAGACAACACAGCATTTACCATCATCCCAGACAGCCTCTGTTTCCTGCTTTCTGTGTGACACTATGGAAACAGAGCCATGTGACAGACCTGCTGGCTCTAGTTTGGTGCTTGGATGTGTGCCTGTGCAGTAAGCTTGTCCACAACTCCCAAGGAGGGAGGGGCTGAGAGAGGGAGTGGATTTCTGAAGTAGTATCCCCCCCACTAAACTTTCAAACTCAAGATCAACTGTTACTGGGAGCTACATGAAAGACGCAGCGCAACTGCTGGAAACACACAAGGAGGTAGGAAAGAAAGAGCAGCTGATTTGTGATGATGGTAACATCTGCTAAATATTTAACCCATCACATACTTCTCTCCTTGAAAACCCCAGTAGTGATCAAAAATCACCAAAAGCTCTAGATTTGTGAAAAAATGATATCAATTTTATGTGGGTACAGAGTTGCATGACCACGCAACTGCCAGCTAAAGTAATACAGTGCTGTGTAGCAAAAAATGGCCTGGTGAGGAAGGCGGTAAAATCTTCTGGAGGGCAATCAAATGCAGTGAGGAGGAAGTGGGGGGGGGGAGGGGGGGGTTCAACAGACACACAGCTTGGGAGCACGCAGGCACTATGTGCCTCCATAGCAAATGGCTTGACCTCCAGAGGATTTACCCCCCTTCATGGGGACACATGAAGAAGAAGAGCAGCCACCAGTGGGAGACCCAGGAAGAGGTGGAACGGGGCCGCTCCGTGCAATACCACTGCACAGAGCAGGTGAATAGAACATGTTAATTTGAATTAAACATTTTTTTTTAAGTTTAGTCATTTAAATAAACATATTTTAAATGCAGATTGTAATGTTACAAAATGCATAGAAACAGAAGGGAAGTTTATTACCTGCTGAGAGGCTGACACCACCTGCTGCAGAGTAGCAATTGCAGCTTGTTGCTGAACCACCTGAGGGAGTTTGGCAACCTTTAGAGGAAAGAGAAAAAATCAGCACGCAAAATTAAAATCTCACAGAAAGACAAACATTGCCAAGTTTGCATTGATTTCACATAGATATTAAACAAACAATCCGGTTTAATGGAAATATAGTATACATTTTGTTTGTGTATCTTCCACTTGGTCCTCCTTTAGTGCATTTAAGGTATCATGTTCCAGGAAAGATAAAGGAAATTTCAACTTTCTTCAATTCCAAGCATAGTTTTTATGCCATTAAAAAAGGATTTTTGTATTCACTGTAAAATAGTTTTTTTTTTGGCACAAAAATTCTTATAGTGTTGGGTTATACTGCTACATACAGGAGAAATGAACACTGGCAACAATAAAACAATTGTCCAAAACAACAACCTGGTTGAGGTGAAAGGCAGAAACTACCTTAGATAAAAAGGAAGCCCTTGGCCTGAACACCACCTATGTAAAACAAGGGGATCTTTGCAGAATCAGGCTTACCAAATCAGATATGCACCTCGTAGAAACACCATCTTGAGGCAAAGAGCACAGAGAGCAATGTCTCTAATGGGCTCACATGATCTTTTAAAAGCACAGACAGAACACAGATTCAGATCATACAGATTCACAGGCGAACATGAACAGGGAAAGCTACATGAGAAACTCCGTGTTCATTTGTCTAAATCAGTGGTTCTCAACCTGTGGAACCTAAGGACCCACATATCTCCTTAGTCATTAACCGCTTGCCTGCTGCCCTATAGCAGAAATACTGCTACAGGGTGGTAGGGCTGCGCAAAATCACATATACAGTTGCAAGAAAAAGTATGTGAACCCCTTGGGATTACGTGGAGTTTTGCATGAATTGGGCATAAAATGTGCTCTGAACGTCATCTAAGTCACAACAATAGAAGAACACAGTCTGCTGAACATAATACTTCACAAACATTAGATGTTGCCATGGTTTAATTGCACATAACATGTAAACATTCACAGTGCAGGGAGGAAAAAGTACGTGAACCTTTGGACTTAATAACTGGTTGACCCTCCTTTGGCAGCAATAACCTCAACCAAACGTTTCCTGTAGTTGCAGATCAGACCTGCACAACGATCTGGAGTCATTTTGGACCACTCCTCTTCACAAAACTGTTTCAGTGTAGCAATATTTTTGGGATGTCTGGTGTGAATCGCTCTCTTAAGGTCATGCCACAGCATTTCAATCGGGTTGAGGTCAGGACTCTGACTGGGCCACTCCAGAAGGCGTATTCTGTGCTGTTGCAGCCATTGTTTTGTTGAATTACTTGTATGCTTTGGGTCATTGTCCTGTTGCATCACCCATCCTCTGCGGAGCGACAGTTGGCGGACAGATGGTCATATATTTTCCTGCAAAATGTCTTGATAAACTCTGGAATTCATTTTCCCATCAATGACAACAATCCGCCCAGGCCCTGAGGCAGCAAAGCAGCCCCAAACCATGATGTTCCCTCCGCCATGTTCTACAGTGGGGATGAGGTTTTGATGTTGGTGTGCTGTGCCTTTTTTTCTCCACACATAGTGTTGTGTGTTCTTCCCAAACAACTCAATCTTGGTTTCATCTGTCCACAGTATATTTTGCCTGTAGTGCTGTGGAACATCCAAGTGCTCTTTTGCAAACTTCAAACGTGCTGCAATATTCTTTTTGGACAGCAATGGCTTCCTCCGTGGTGTCCTCCCATGTACTCCATTCTTGTTTAATGTTTTCCTTATTGTAGATGTGTCAACAAAAATGTTAGCATGTGCCAGAGATTTCTGTAGGTCTTTAGCTGACACTCTGGGATTCTTCTTTACCTCATGCAGCATTCTGCGCTGTGCTCTTGCAGTCATTTTTACAGGACGATCACTCCTAGGAAGAGTAGCAACAGTGCTAAACTTTCTCCATTTGTAGACAGTCTGTCTTTCTGTGGACACATGAACATCAAGGCTTTTGGAGATACTTTTGTAACCCTCGCCAGCTTCATGCAAGTCAACAATTCTTGATCGTAGGTCTTCTGAGAGCTCTTTTCTGCGAGGCATGGTTCACATCAGACAGTGCTTCTTGAAACCAGTAAACCCAAAACAGGTGTGTGTTTTTTAAGGGCAGGACAGCTGTCAGCAACACATCCAATATCATCACACTGATTGGAGTCAAGGTTGGCTCACTCCTGGCTCCAATTAGCTCTGGGAGAAGTCATTAATCTAGGGCCTCACATACTTTTTTTCTCCCTGCACTGTGAATGTTTACATGTTATGTGCATTAAACCATACCATTAAACCATAGCAACATCTAATGTTTGTGTAGTATTATGTTCAGCAGACTGTGTTCTTCTATTGTTGTGACTTAGATGACGTTCAGAGCACATTTTATGCCCAATTCATGCAAAACTCCACGTAATCCCAAAGGGTTCACATACTTTTTCTTGCAACTGTATATGCATAATTTGCATTTCCGGGTAGGGGGAGTGCACCTCCCTACCCGCGCCACCTTTGGTGGCTAGGGATCTCAATCACCGGGACCCCGTCAGTGAGTCCCCGCCAGCAATTCCCCACCGGCACCCGATGATCGTCAGGGAAGGCTGACAGGGGACAGACCTGTGTGTAACACAAGTCTCTCTCCTGTCAGCATGGATATGCTGTTTTGTATCTCTCTGCCTTCATAACTGAGCGTATATAAGGTCCTTTTTTCTCTATTATTTTATGTTTGTACTTTTTGCACATCCACTTTTCAGGTGGTCTGTAATGTATTTTTATTTTGGTAGCTTACACCCATGTAAAAATCAGAAAATAATGTTCATTTGAAAATAAAGCATAAAAAACATAGCATAACTTAAGAATACAGTGAGGAACAGAAGTATTTGAACACCCTGCGATTTTGCAAGTTCTCCCACTTAGAAATCATGGAGGGGCCTGAAATTCACATTGTAGGTGCATTCCCACTCTGAGAGACAGAATTTAAAAAAAACTTCAGGAAATCACATTGTATGATTTTTAAAGAATTTATTTGTCTTGCACTGCTGAACATAAGTATTTGAACACTTAAGAAAATCAGTGTTAATATTTGGTACAGAAGCCTTTGTTTGCAATTACAGAGGTCAAACATTTCCTGTAGTTCTTGACCAGGTTTGCACACACTGCAACAGGGATTTTGACCCACTCCATCATACAGATCTCCTCTAGATCCGTCAGGTTTCAGGGCTGACACTGAGCAACACGGAGTTTCAGCTCCCTCCAAAGATGTTCTATTGGATTTAGGTCAGGAGACTGGCTAGGCCACTCCAGAACCTTGATATGCTTCTTACGGGGCCACTCCTTGGTTATCCTGGCTGTGTGCTTCGGGTCGTTGTCATGTTGGAAGACCCAGCCACGACCCATCTTCAATGTTCTGACTGAGGGAAGGAAGTTATTGCTCAAAATCTCACCATAAATGGCCCCATTCATCCTCTCCTTAATACAGTGAAGTCGTCCTGTCCTCTTCGCAGAAAAGTACCCCCAAAGCATGATGTTACCACCCCCATGCTCCACAGTAGGGAGGGTGTTCTTGGGATGCAACTCATCCTTCTTTTTCCTCCAAACACGACGAGTGAGGTTTAGACCAAAAGGTTCTACTTTGGTCTCATCTGACCACATGACTTTCTCCCATGCCTCCTCTGGATCATCCAGATGGTCATTGGCAAACTTCAGGCGGGCCTGGACATGTGATGACTTGAGCAGGGGAACCTTCCGTGCAATGCATGATTTGAAACCATGACGGCGTAGTGTTCTACCGACAGTGACCTTTGAAACTGTGGTCCCAACTCTCTTCTTCATGTCATTGACCAGCTCCTTCCCTGTAGTTCTGGGCTGATTCCTCACCTTTCTTATCATCAGTGATACCCCACGAGGTGAGATCTTGCATGGAGCGCCAGTCCGAGGGAGACCGACAGTCATCTTTAGCCTCTTCCATTTTCTAATTGCTCCAACAGTTGATCTATTTTCACCAAGCTGCTTGGCAATTGCCCCGTAGCCCTTTCCAGCCTTGTGGAGGTCCACAATTTTGTCTCTGGTGTCTTTTGACAGCTCTTTGCTCTTGCCCATGGTAGTAGTTGGCGTCTGATTGAGCTCTTTAAAGACACCTGTCCACCCCACAGTCAGACAGGTGCTACTAAGTTAGATTAATGAGTGGAGTAGAGGTGGACTTTTTAAAGGCACAGTAACAGGTCTTTGAGAGACAGAATTCTTGCTGTTTCAAATACTTATGTTCAGCAGTGCAAGACAAATAAATTCTTTAAATATCATACAATGTGATTTCCTGAATTTTTTTTTTTAATTTTGTCTCTTATAGTGGGAATGCACCTACAATGTGAATTTCAGAACCCTCCATGATTTCTAAGTGGGAGAACTTGCAAAATCGCAGGGTGTTCAAATACTTCTGTTCCTCACTGTATATAAAAATGTGCCTTTTACTTGCTTAAAAATCCTACTTGGTTTTCTACTTCTATTTAAAGTGGTTGTAAAGGCTGAAGGTTTTTGACCTTCATAAATTCTATGCATGACAGTAAAAAAACTTCTGTGCACAGCAGTGCCCCCAGCCCCCTCAATACATATCTGAGCCTCATCGCAATCCAGCGGTGTAAATGACAGCCTCAACTGTGACAGGTCTCAGCCTCCTTATTGGCTAAGACAGCATGCTGCTGTCAATCACAGCCAGTCAACCAATGAGGAGATAGGGGGGTTGCAAGCCATGGCTCCATGTGTGAATGTACACAAGGAGCAGCAGGGGCCCCCATAGCAAGATGCTTGCAGTGGGGCCACCTGACAGACAGGAGGAACCAGGAAAGCATTCGGGGGACAGTAGGAAAGTATAGACATGTTTGTTATTTTACAAAAGAAAAAAATTAACTTTTAGAATCGCTTTAATTATAAGGAGTGGGGTCTTGAGTTATGTACAACATAATTAACCCTGTCTGTAAAGGCTGACAGAACTCATTCTAAATTACATGTGCACATTATCTGTCCTAACAAAGGGTCCAACATAGCAAGACATGGGTGGTACATACACTTTTTATTAAAAAACATCCCTTTGTTTATAGAAAACTGGAAACCTGCACTGCTTGGCTAGCTGGAGAGTTGTCCAGGGTTTCCATATCTAACCTGAACTCAGCGGCAGCTGTAGATGACCGGAGAAATGTCCAGAAACTCAAGGGTGTCACAGACAGAACACCAGTATAAAACTGAAAAGAATGCAATTGTTGGCTTACTGAATAAACATCCAGGATTTAATTTATCCAGCATGATTCTACCAATACAGCTTGGCTGACTGGTGAAACTTTCAAAATGCAATTTACCCAGCAACTCTTCTGAGCAGAAAAAAAGAATCTTCCAGATCAGAGAACAGCAAAGTTGAAGAAAGCATGTCCAATCTTCTCAGTGCAGCGAGTAGAAAAACTGAGGCACAATGGTGTGTGGGGTTATCCCATGCTGGCCAATTGTTTTTTGTTACTTCTCTTGCAGGTGGCAGAATAACCCAACCATGTAAAAATTCTAACAATTCCTGTGTCCCTCAATGGACGATAAAGAAACAAGCTTGCAATTTTTAGTTATTTATTACAGGAATGGAATTGTGAGGGGTTAGAATTTACATGGACGGTCAAAAACAATTAATGTAGAACTGCACTAAGCTTATTGTATTTATATTATTGGCTGTAGCCAAGGACAGAAAGTTTACTTAAAGCTGCTTATGGACTCCTCCAAAAGTAAGATTCACAAAATGGTGGGGTCCCTTGTTGATTCACAAAGAATCAGCACTGTAATCACAGCCAATTCATAAATTACCTATTCTCCTTACAATGACACAGAAGGTAAAAAACAAAAAAGGCTGTGTTTATTTGCAGAGTTAAAGTGAACCTGCCCTTTCACTATGCAGGACAAAGCACTAGGTTTACTTTAAATCAGATCCACCTACATACTTATTACACTTCACTAGCCAACCACTCCATTCGGCCAACCACCAGTATTTATTATGTAGATGCAAGGAGAGTTCTAAGCATTGTGTAACCCCTGAAAACAACTTGGAGCTTGCGAAAAAATCCCTCTGTCAGGCTAACAGAGCAACAGAGGTTGAATTGCCATTCAATATACGGTTGTGTTAAAAATAATAGCAGTGTGTTTAAAAAAGCGAGTAAAGCGCAAAATCCTTATAATAGCTTTTATTTCCATACACGTAAATGCATTGGGAACACTGCATAGTCTATTCCAAATCAAAACATGAAGAAAAATGTTTACAATTTTTTATGACTTTACAAAAAAGTGAAGAAAAAGGAATATTAGGCTGTTAAAAAAAAAAAAAAAATAGCAGTGCCTGCATTTTACTTTACAAACTCAATTATTTACTTTATAAAATGCTTGAAGATTTTGCTTTCCTTTGAATCACTGAATATTTAGTTGAATAACCACGGTTTCTAAAAACGGCTTCACATTTGCGTTGCATGGAGTCAACCAACTTCTGGCAGCTGTGAACAGGTATTCCAGCCCAGGATGATTGCACTACATTCTACAATTCCTCTGCATTTCATGGTTTTACCTCAGTAACAGCTTTTTTTATTATGTCACCCACCTTAAGTTTTCTACTGAATTAAGCTGGCCAGTCCATAAAGTTAATCTTGTTGGTCTGGAACCACTTAGGTGTGTTTGGGTTGTCTTGCTGAAACACTCATTTCAAGGGCATTTCCTCTTCAGCATAAGGCAGCATGACCTCATAAAGTATTTTGATATATTCAATCTAATCCATGATCCCTGGTATGCGATAAATAGGCCCAACACCGTAGTATGAGAAACATCTCCATATCATGATGCTTGCACAACCATGCTTCACTGTCTTCACAGTGTACTGTGGCTTGAATTCAGTGTTTGGGGGTCGTCTGACAAACTGTCTCCGGCCACTAGACCCAAAAAGAACAATCTTACTTTCATCAGTCCACAAAATGTTGCGCCATTTCACTTTCGCCCAGTCAATGTGCTCTTTGGCAAATTGTATCCTGTAATTATTTTCAACAGTGGGACTTTGCGGGGGCTCCTTGCCGATAGCTTGGCTTCACATAGGCGTCTTCTAATTGTTATAGTACTCACATGTTTACTTTAGAACTTTTGTTCAACTGGGAGCTGACCATTGGTCGAGTCTTTGCAATTCTGGCTATTCTTCGATACATTCGAATGGTAGTTTTTCATTTTCTTCCATGTCTTTCTTTGTTTTGGTTGCCATTTTAAAGCGTTTGAGATCATTTTAGCTGAACAGCCTATCAGTTTCTGAACTTTTTTACATGTTTTCCCCTCTCCAATCAACTTTTTAATTACGATGTTCTTCTGAACAATGTCTGGAACGACCCATTTTATTTAGATTTTCAGAGAGAAATGCACTATACCCAGCATGTACATTTGCTGCATTTATCCCTAACCACCTCCCTCCCGCCATATAGTAATATGACGGACACAAGGTGGTTCTCTTGTTCTGGGAGGACGTCATATGACGACGCGCATGCATGGCTCCCGGAACGCGCAGCGCGGCGATCGGCGGTGTGCTGTGTCCCTCGGACACAGCGGAGATCCACGGAAAGAGCTGAAGATGTCGGCTCGGTCATGTGACCAGCTGTGTCCAATCACAGCTGATCACATGTAAACAGGGAAATGCCGGTTATCAGCATTTCTCTCCTCACGAGCGGTCACGCTGACAGCTCGAGAGGAGAGGAGACGGTAATCGGCATTCCTCGGAGGGGACATGTACACAGATCATCAGAGCATTGATGATCAGTGTGCCCTCATGATCTGTGTAGCCCCAGCAGCGCCACCTGCCAGTGTCCATCAATGCCAGTTCTCAGTGCTCATCCATGCCACCTGCCATTTCCCATCAGTGCCACATTTCAGTGCCACATCAATGCCACATTTCAGTGCCACATATCAGTGCCACCCATCAGTGCCAGTCAGTGCCAGTCAGTGCCACCTATCAGTGCCCGTCAGTGCTGCCTATCAGTGCCAGTCAGTGCCATATGAGTGCTGCCTTTCAGTGCCCATCAGTGATGCCCGTCAATGCCCATGAGTGCCACCTACCAGTGCCTCCTCATCAGTGCCACCTATCAGTGCCCATCACTGCAGCCTCATTAGCGCACATCAGTGAAGGAGAAAAATCACTTATTTACAAAATTTTATAACAAAAACTAAGAAAAAACTTTTTTAATTTTCAGTGGTTTTTGGTTTGTTTAAGAAAAAATAAAAAACCCAGAGGTGATTAAATACCACCAAAATAAAGCTCTGTCACAAACAAATGATAAAAATTTCATATAGGTACAGTATTGCATGACTGCGCAATTGTCATTCAAAGTGCAACAGCACTGAAAGCTGGAAATTGGCCTGGACAGGAAGGGGGTATAAGTGCCCTGTAGGCTAGTGGTTAAATAAAGGCCACTTGTTTTTTCACAGACTGAATGACCTCACTAATTGAACTCTACACTGCTATTATTTTGAACATGCCCCTTTCAATTAATGATTCAATTACACAGAATCAGCAGCATGCATGTCATGACTGTTGGTTTTCTACTTCTCTATTACACCTACTAGTAAATTATTTGCCATGTAGAAATATAATGTATGCCAAAAACTGATTGATCTGGTTAGTGATGTTAGACTGTTATTATTTTGAACACAACTGTATGTTGTCATATTTGATACATGGTTAACTAAATGCTTTTATACCAGCATCTGAAGTCTTAGAACTATCAGATTATTACTGGTCTCTGATTCTTTATGGAACATACCTGTATCTGAGCTTGTACTTGCTGTGTTCCAGGTGCCTTCTGTGCCTGAGTTAAAGAGGTTGTTAGGAACTGAGTTTTAATGGCTGGCTGATTGGTATAGGTGACTTTTTGCTGCTGGGATGCAGTAGACACTTGAGGTGTGGTTATCTGGAGGGAGAGGTAAGGCTGAGCATTAAAAGCCCAGGGGAAAAGCAGATAGGAAGAGATAAACGTAATCACTAATTAACCACTTAAAAACACAAACTGTACAGCAATCAAACTTAAAATCCCACTTGCTAGGCATTTAGGATGTCTATAAATAGGAACAATTTAATATATAACGGAACACATTCTTTGTATCTATGTAACAAAACAAAAAAAATGGGTAAAAGTCATTAGCTTTAATATAATGCTAAAATAAAAGGCTACACATATTACAAACATTGAAATATGCTAACACATAGTTACAGCAGCAAAACCAAGCAGTTCAATTCCATCTGTTTTGAGTCAGATGCAATGTACTCTCAGGTAAATGGGGTGCATTCAACAGTGAAGCCACTTACCTTCTGTTGTCCTATGGAAGCCTGAGTCTGGAGAGCTTTTTGCTGTTGTTGCTGCTGTGTCTGCTGGGCAGTATGGTGTTGCTTCAGCTTCAACAAAGGCTGCATATGCAAAGGCTGGGCCATAACAGTTTGTCCACCTAAACATGCAAAAGTTTTACTACAAAATTTTGAGAACATAACAGAGGTAATATGAAAGTTCTCTGGAAGGTGTTTCTTAATTTACTATATCTTGAAAACCAGAACTGAGAGTAAACTTACTACCAGTTACTCTTTAGCAAGAGGAAGAGAATTAATCACTTGTTTTGTCTTAGAAAATAAGCATATCCTGCAGCATTAAAGAGAAGTAGACAAAAGATCATATTTGTTGTGGGATAAAGGAGCGGTTTTCTCTTCAGCTCCCTCTCCAGGCAGGCAGGAACAGCTACTGTACAAATAGAAGTTGCAAACAAACTGAATCTAGAGTGGAAGGCCCTGTGCCTGAAATTCCAGTAACAGCCATTTTTTTAACCATGCTTTAAGGCCAGTTCACACTGGGATCACATAGGAATGTGGCTTGTGTTCCTGTGCAGTGTGATTTTGCAGCTTGTTCATTTGATCACACCGGATTGCTGAGAATGTAGCACATGCACTGCTTTTAACAAAATGTGCCGCACAAATCACATAGTACTGCAGTACCATGCAATTTGGTGCCCACAAACACACTGTTTATGCGATGTGTTTGGCATGCCATTAACATTACACTAGCACCCACAGAGAAAATAATAGAGGATAAGTACTTAAAGTACACTTAGCCTTTAAGGTAGAAAACAATTAATGTACCAGGATTTGTACATATTTTTCCACTGTGTGAATTTTGCAAATTGTATTTTTATCCAAAAATTAAATTGTGCTTTTAAAATGAATTTTTGTTGTGAACCACATAATTGATTTCCACTGACTCCCCATCAAGAAGAGATCCTTTTAAAGCTACTAGAGAATATTCTGTGGTGTGTCTATGCTGTTAACCAATAATTTAGCATACACACCAGACGAGTGTAATTTCTCAGCTCTCTGCAACCTTTTTCTGAAAGTTCAGACAAGCTTTACAAATTCTGGACTTAGAACAGATGTAGAATACAGAATACTACAGATAAACAGGTACAACTTATGTAGGAGGATTTATTCTCTGTCTCGCCTGAGGCCAGTCACTTCACTGGGTATATGTAAGAGTTTACAACCACTTTCATTTTGCATAGAGGTGGGGGGGGGGGGGGGGGGGATTAGAACCCTTGTCAAGTATTTATTTCTGTCTGTGCCCTCACACATAGAAATTCACCCTCACCTATCTTCTGGTGACCATTAGCAATGAGTCAGAAAGGGACAACAAATGACAAATATTACAGCTGCCACCAGAAGAGTAAATGTTCCAAAGGGGACACTAGTTCTCATGAAAACAAATGGAGAATGTCCCTCATTTTTCGCTCATTTCCTTTTGCGTTTCCAGGGCAAGATGTGAAAGTAAATCCCCCAATGGGAAAAATTATGACAGGAGTTCTGACCCATCGCACACTATCCAAAACTTAATAGAAATGTTGATTTGCCTATAAATTCCAAATCTTTGAGCACAGTGCAGGACACAGGAATTGACTATTAGACCATGGCTTATATGCCACTACTTTCAGGTGTTTTTTGAAACTGGCAAAAGCTTTACTAGGACTGCTACCCCCTAGTGTAACCATGTAACTCCACCAACGCCATAAGGCTCCAGTTTGTTAGGCAGCAGTAAGATTAAAGAGAAAAGAGGGGAGTCTTGTACTATACTGTACTCCCAAGATATAGAATTTACAGAAACTTCAAAATTCCTATTACCTTAATTGTATAATACAGGGTACACAAATTGATTTCTACACCATAAGACATCCTCCAAGCAATAAGTCGAGGGGTGGGCCACACTCTGTGTGTGTGAATGGACAGAGCAGTGGCTCAGGAGCGAACCTGCTTGAGTGCCTCCATAGCAAGCTGCCTACTGTGGGGGCACTCGGCAGGAGCACCGGCAGGGGACCCGAGAAGAGGAGGATTAAAAAAAAAAAAATTAATATACCTTTAAAAACACACTAAAATTAATGGGCTGCCATGCCTGCACACTCACAGAGCCGCAAACATGTGAACTAGGGCTAATGTGAAGGGGACTATGGAAACTGATATAAGAAAGGCAGTGTGACATAAGGGTAGAGGGCTGTGATGTAAAGGATCAGACCCACAAAAATTAGATTTGTACCTCTGCTGCAAGAAAATTGTACTGATCGGACCTCCTTAAATTTTAATTCAGTACCGCTGGTCTAAAAAAATAGCACCACCGAGTGTGATGATTTTTTTTCAGCAATGTAAGGATTACATTGATATTTAAACAGAGATAAAATATAACCCATCATGCTGCATTTGTTATTAAAGCTAGATTAAAAAAAACCTCTCATATGAGAGATATAGTGGCACATCTCCATCAGACCAGGCAAAAACTTAGGTACTGCCGTAATTATGAAGGATGTTTTAAGGCCATGATGGGACATGTGTTCCTAAAATGGACAAGGGCCTTCTGCAAGATCTGGAAAGTACTTATACTTCTTCCTAAAGGGGAAAGAAATGAAATTGTGAATGGCTGCAAGGAGGTGTAGGGAAACTGCTTTTAGGGAAACAAGTAGGAACAGCATAGAAAATAACAGAGAGAGAACATAAAGAGAATGTGAAGGAGATTTACTAAAGCCGGTTCACTCAAGATCAGGTGCAGCTGTGCATGGTAACCAATCCCCTTCTAACCTCAGCTTAAATAAGCTTTGGCAATAAAACCTAGAAGCTGATTGGTTTTTATGCAGAAGTGAACCTGATTTTGCACTCTCCAGCTTTAGTAAATAAACCCCTGTGTGTACCTCTCCGAAGAAGAGTGAAACAAAGGACTGAGGCATCTGTGCTCTAAGCTGGGGCAAATGTCAGTAGACTCCCCCCCCCCCCTCAACCTGAAGGGGTGGGGGGCAAACCTTCATTGTGAAGACTTCTGAGCAGGTGGGTTTAGAGGTCAAGGGTCTGCCATGAAAGGTTGGTCTTGCAGTAGATGACAATATCTGGAGTGGGTGAACAGATCGCACATGAGGTAGAAGAGGACAAACTAATAGTGACTGTAGATCGTGGGGTAGGAACTTCCTTCCATTTGTAACCTCAATGTATTCCTCAATGAAATTTGCAAAGAAGTGTTCACTCTCAAAAGGTAACGCACAAAAGAAACCTTTCCCAAGCAGGGTCAGTCAACCAAGCTCTAAGCGATAAAATTCTGCATATTTTCACAGAAAGGTCATAGATTCGATAACTTACATTGAAGTCCACAAATTCAGGGAAGCAGCATTGAGGAAACAGAAGACAGCAGCTGTGAACTGCAAGTGTCGGGATAACAATAGTTTACTGGGGAATATTATTTTATTGTATTAAAAAAAAAAAAAGATGAGCATTTAATACTACTTTTACAAAATATTCAAGAACATTACCTGAACAGAATATAAAATGTTATCAAATTCAACAAACGTTTCTCATTAAAACTATTCTACCTGCAGCTTTCTGGGGCTGGTTGATAGAAACACTGATTCCTGCCATGGTAACTGGAAGGGTGGTGACTCCTCCAGATGAAACAACAGCGGATACCACAGGTGGTTTTGCCAGAGCAACTTGGGCTGTCTGCCCTGGTTGAGCTTGGATTGGCCCCTGAGCCTGCAACTTGATAGAAAGAGAGTTGTTAAAAGACATTTATCTGAGGAAATAGTATCATACTGAAGATTTGTTTGTCCAACTTAACCCTCACCAGACGAGTCACTTGTAGATTTGCCACTGTGGCTCCAGTAAGCACAGCTCCTCCTCGAGAAGCAGTTACGGTTGCCAGCTGCTGCTGTGGTTGAACTTGCACTTGTGCTGCAGTACCAGTCAATGTTCCTGTCTGCGCCACTTGCTGAGAAAGCTGCAGCTTCTGCTTCTGCAACTTCATTAACTGTTCCTATCAAAGAAAAATAGAATAGCAAAAATGTAACCATATTTTGCTACAAACATTTAGGGTTGCTTTCATACATACCCATACTATGGCCAGTTTAGACAGGAGCCAAATAACCTACCAGCATGTCTTTGGAGTGTGGGAGGAAACCGGAGTACCCAGAGGAAACCCACACAGGCACAGGAAGAACATGAAAACTCCAGGCAGGTAGTGTTATGGCTGGTATTCAAACCGATGATCCTAGGGCTGCTAGGCAGTTGTGCTAACCACTTATTTAAATGAAAGTTTTTGTGTATCAAGTTAAGCTTTACTGCAAACACTCTGAAACTGAAAATTAAAAATGGTACTTTCATGCATGCTTTCAACACTATGCGCCCTGTGGCTTTAACAGGTTTTCCAGCTACTGTGCAACAATCGCAGCAGGATCTTGATTCTCCATGGCCTCTTGGTTTAATCTCAGTTGGATGAACAGCTCAGAGGTCATAGCCCTTCCGCAGCACCCTCTAATAACATTTTGCTCCTACATGTGCACAAGAGGCAGAAGTCATCAATGCAAAGAATACTGTGGCTCCTCCCATTGAGTGTTTTCCCATGTTTCTCATAGTAAGCAGTGCAGCTTCCGCATATATTTGCAAATGTGTGCAACTAAAACCTTTGTTTTAAAACAAATTGTTAGACGGTGCTATTTTTTTTTTTTTTTTTTTTGCAGGCCAGCTGGTTATTGTGCTGAGAAAACTGTTTTTGCTGTGTTTTCCATAGCAGCCTACAAGAGTGAAGTCAGAAAAAGACCAAGTGGTCCATCGAGTCTGCCCACTTTTTGATTTTTTTTTTTTTTTAATTTGTATTTGATTAATAGCTTCATTTTACTAGTAAAACAAGTAACAATCATCTGGTAAATGAGGATGAAAAAAATATTAGGGTGAGGATAGAACAACCCAATTACACACCCAATTACTGGCATAAAAAGAAAATAGTTCCTATGGAATAATTACAAAACTTCCATCACACCGGGGCATAGGACAGGTAATGGAACAGACTCTGCAATGTGCCATATGGATAAAAAAAACTATGGATAGTGCAAAAAAAAAAAAAAAAAATTCTTACTAAAGGTGGCCATACATGGATCAAAATTTAGCTGGTTCAGCAGTGACCTATCAAAAAACTAGCCTGTCTGTTTTTTCCTGGTTGATCAGTGCTGCCAGCTATAGCCAGCAACACTGATCACTGTATTCTGACTTGGGGGAAGGCTCTCCTCTGTCAGAATACAAAGGCTCAGCAGGAAGGTTTTCCCGCATCCGCACACTCGATGTTCATCAGCTATTTTTTTTTTTAACCCACTGTTTGAATAATATAATAAAAAAAAAATATCTATGGCTTTACTTGCAAATTCCCTATCTTTGAGTACAGTACACGGACTACTTATTAATACACCATGGGTTATAGGCCTGGAGACGTCTCAGAACGTATGAAGAAGCTGTTTGTGTCTTCTACTGTGTGATTGAGGTAAGAGGAATTTTGGCTCACTTGTATTTTGGAACACAGCACTGGACATAGGTCACCTTCCCTAACACGCTTTGTTTACTCTGCACTGCATGCTACATAACTGAGAACTCACGGAGTTATAGGGAAAGTGCTCCTGCGGGAGTGTCCATAAAAGCTGCCCAGTGTCCAATCATCTGAAGGTATGAGTTGCTAACCCATAGTGTATGAATAGGTTGCTTGTATCCTGTACTGTACGATCAGAATTACAAGTGTGCATGCATGCACTATTTTTGACTTGCAATTTCAAAAGGTTTGTGCCAACTTTATTTCTGCTTTAGAGGCAAAGCAATGGCATACATATATGTGAAAGGCTAACTGCAAAAGGTTTCTGATTTTTTATTGAAACAAAACAAGATATTTATTTCAAGCACACTAACGATACATAAGCCCTTTTGTAGCTTTTTTTTCCCTTCCTATTTGTATATTCTTTTAGCATATGTTAACTTACCGAGGATATCTTAGCAACAGCCTTTATTTGCCCGGGGGATTGTGCTTGGGCCTGTATTTGAGGTACTTGCACCTGGGCAGTAGCTTGTTGCCGAAGCAGCTGAAACTGAGCTTGGGTTATGGCTTTGCCGGCTAACTGAACGCCCGTGGTAGAGGTGGCTGGAAAATATGACAGAAGAGTTATAAAGAAAGGAAGACAAACTGTGATTTGTAATAATTATAGAAGATATAAAAACATGCTACCTGTTGTTACTTGGGTCACAATGGCTCTTGCCTGTGTTTGAACAGGTGTAAGATTAGTAGATACCACAGTCCCTGCAGTCACAGCTCGAACTCCTGGACTAGTTGCTATAGTCACCATCTCTGTAGGTGCTGTGGGTGTCGTTGCTGTCCTCTGTTGAACTAACTGACCAGTGGCTGCTCCTGCAGACTGATGACAAAAATTATTATATGGCAACATATTAAGTGTTAAAAAGGTCCATACAAAAAGATCAAGTTAAAGGATAAGTAAGATATGCAACATATAATTAAATTCATTGACAATTATCAAAGATGTATATCATGGCCAGCTGTAAATGATGATTTAAAGTGGTTGTAAACCTTAGACGTGAAATATAAACAAAACATATCACTTAAGAGTCATTTCTGTCTGCCGCTTTCTTCCTCTGCTACCAGTATCAATCACTTCTGTCAAGTTTTCATGACACCAAGAGAAAAATGGCGACAGGGGAGAGAATTCCATCAGATTGACAGCCTCAGCTCTGTTCCTGTGAGCTGTGTGGAGGAGGCAGTGTCTGTTTCCTCCAATCAGATCTCAGACCTCAATGAGCTCTGCAGAGTGCAACTACAGCTCTCTGCCCCCTCAGACAAGCTTTATAATTTCTGGACTTTGAACAGGTGAAGAGAAGACTGCAAATAAACAGGTACAACGTAAGTAGGAGGATTTGTTTCACCTCATGCAATCCACTTCATTTGGTTTACAACCAGTTTATTCCAGGTATGGCTATTTTACATAGTAACTATGGTCCAGCTTGGACCAATGTAAGTATACATAGGCCATACCTTAGGGATCCCTGTGGAAGCAGCTAATCACTGTAGTAGTCACTGCTACCACAGTGTTTGCCACTATCTTCTGTGTCCCATGCTGAGTGGCTGCCTTGCTACTTGCAAGAACACTGGTGGATGCTCGCTCAGCACAAAACAGAATGCCTTGCATTCTCTTCACAGAATCGTCTGTCTCTTCACCTTGCACTGCGAGCCCTCTGAGTGAGTGATGTTCCTTGTGGTTACTATGCAGCAGGGCAGCTGCTAAGCATGGGACCCGGAAAACAGTGTCCAGGACCCAGAAAGTAGCATCCAGGGCCCATCAGTTGCAGGTAATATCTCCATGAGTGATTACATATGAGGTTAGCTTTCAGCCTCACATTGCTTTCAATGGCATTTTCATCCCCGCCTAATCTATGTGAACCCCAGCATCTTATATTTAATTATCCCATTCGCAAGTGTGAATGGGGCCTTAAGGGTTAAAGAACTTTGCAGGTTATACATCAAGCTTAATGCAGAACTAAAATCTGCAATAGATACCTTAGCTCCAACTACCCAAAGCCTGCAAGGTCACTCATCAGCATCTGCTCGCCAGCTTCCTCCAAGTGAATTGATTTACAGATAAACAGTAAAGCATAAAAAATACAAACTACTTATCCAAGACAGATCTTAGCAAAATTCACAGATCAGAAAACCAATTTTTATACACATAGACGCAAGGCACAGTATGCCAAACTAGTGAATTAACTGTTCATAAACAAAAATGATCTAATAAGCAGATTTTTCTCTTTAAGACTATACACTGTTCACTTGTACCAGAAATTAATGAAATATTTCACAAAATCTTTCAATTAATTTTAAAGAGGAACCAAACCTTAAATGAAAAAAACTATGTGCAGGCAGTTCTATAATGCAGACAACACCTGCTTGCTCAGCGTCTTCTACTAAATGCACACTGAACTGTGCATTCCCAGCACACTCCGGTTGTTCTAGAATGACCGACTACTGTGCTACTGATTTGACATCACCCCCTGCAGGCCAATCAAGACACTGAAAACCCAGTACCCAGGAAATAGCCTGGGAAGTTGTTTACAGCGGCCACCAATTAAGTGACCAGTGCTTTACTGAAAGTTAGAGGTATTTTCTGGAGTTTAGTACTGCTTTAAAGAGGAGCTCCAGTAATATTTCTAAAAATTTAAAGTCAGACGCTACAAAAACAGTAGCTGCTGACTTGTAATAAACAGATACTCTCCTGTCCCATGATCCAGCGCTGTGCCCACCCAAGACAGTTTTTCCACCTGTCTTCAGTCCCCGATGCCGGCATCTTAACTGTTAGCGCCTGGCTTTACAGCTGGCTGCCCACTGTGCATGCATGGGCCGCGCTCACCCGTGAAATGTCCCAGAAGACCTAAAGTGGAACTCCTTGTTTTAGGTGAAGCTCCGCATTAAGTAACAAAGCTGTCAAAAATAGGATTTTTGTACTCACCATAGAAACCTTTTCTTGGAGGCCATTGAGAAACACAGGAGGTTTTAAAATTTTGGGGTTACACTGCTGTCTAGAGAAGTATTGGACACTGGTCATAAATTAAAAAGAAAAACAGGGTCAGCCCATTTTATAACCGTCCTACTAAAAGCATGCCTCAAAAACAAAGCATGATTAAATCCAAGGGGTTGGGACATGTGTCCCTCAATGTACAGCAAGAAAAGGATTTTATGGTGGATACAAAATTCCTATATTCTTTCTAATCTACTGACTTTGGAGCATCCAAAAGCAGTCAAACTGAGGAGTGGAGAGGATAACAACTACTAGTGGATCCAACGGAACAAAAGAAAATGGGAAACTGCCTATAGCTCAAAGAGCCACCTGAAGATGACATGACATGAGACAGAGACGTTAGAAGTTTATTTTGGACGTTTTCCTTTATTTTCACCTGGTTATCTGGCCAGAAACACACTTCTGGTCCTAAAAATGGCACCACTCTAGATGGAGGAGCAAGAGAGACATTTGGATAGCAGTATTGTCATTCTGGGGAGATGATAGTGTTACATGCACTAGCAGAGTTACGGTGCACTCACACTAGCACTCTGAACCTGTCTAGGGTGCAGTTCAGCCCCTTGGGTCAGTTCATTTGTGTAGTGTGAGTGCTTCGAACCACGCCCGCGAGCAGTTAAGCATACCAGGCCCGGGACTAGGTGGTCATAGGTACGGTTCACTTATGGTCTGGTATGGTTTGCTGAAGTGTGAATGCAAACTGTGCCAAAGTGCAGTTCTCTCCACAGAGGACTGTCACTAGAGCAGTGGGCCCAGGAACATTTCCTCACAATCCAATATGAGCATAGATCAGTAGAGGAATGGGTGGGGGTGGCAACTTTTTAAGCAACACTATTTTTTGTTTTGTTATAAACGTTTTACGTAAATGAATAAAAGCCAACCATTGTAATAACCCCGATCAATGTTAGGTTTGTCACAATCCTCCAACAGCCACTTTTGCTGGAGAGCTATGTCTAGTATAGGAAGTTGAAAAAAAACAGACTTATTGGCCAAATGAACATGTGAAAATAAAAGAAAAAAAGGTCTTAAAAAATGAAAATTGGCAAGCCTTTCTCAACGTGTATTTTGGGTGTAACATTCATGACTTCACCCCTCGATCCGCCCCCTTCTTGTGAAAGCAGGCGGGGGGACTTTCTGCCCACACCTGCTGTCACAATTTGAAAACAGCATGGCTGTGCAGGGCTTCGTCCCCACACAGCTGCGTCATTCATTTACAGAATTCTGTGAATGAATGCCTACAAGCACTGTCAGCCATTGATGCTGATAGCTTGCACTTTTCAATGAATTGCGAGGTCGTTGGTGAGCATTCTCATAGTCCAGTAAACTTCCTGGACTTCAGGAACCGCCTGTCTGTATCGAAGGTACAGGCAGACAGCTTACTGAGTTTCTGCAGGAGCCTGTCATTGCACCTGTGATCTGCAGATCACAGGTGCAATGCTTTAAAGGCTCCCCCCACCCCTGACCCCTGGCGCCCCCTTGGCGACTGATGTAGGCCACAGCTATGGCTGTTTGACAGCACCCTGTGTGTCCCTGAAGAAGGGGCCCAGTGTTGTGGGAAGCAGCTCTGGTGACCATGTTCCCTGAACTTATAAGGGATTGAACACTCCAACCCAGCCTTAAAGCCGTTGTAAAGGCTGAAGGTTTTTTACCTTCATGCAGTCTATGCAAGAAGGTAAAAAACCTTCTGTGTGCAGCAGTGCCCCCAGCCCCCTTAATACTTACCTGAGCCTCATCGCGATCCAGCGATATGAATAACAGCCTCAGCTGTTCTGGGTCTCTGACTCCTTATGGCTGAGACAGCAAGCAGGAGCTGCTTGCTGTGGGGGCACCCGACAGACAGGAGGAGCCAGGAGAGCCTGCGGGGGAGCCGAGAAGAGCGGGATACAGGCTGTGCTCAGTGCAAAACCACTGCACACAGCAGGTAAGTATAGACATGTTTGTTATTTTACAAAAGAAAAATAAATAACCTGTAGAATCACTTTAAACACTGGCATCCATCTTCATCATCTACAGTCTTACCCATTGTGAAGGCTGTGTTGGAAATGACAAGATGTTGTGTTGGAAAGGTCTCAGATGAAATTGGGCAAATGGTGGCCAAGGAGGCCACATAAGACCCAGAATTCTCATGGAGAATCACACATTGCATTCTAAGAGAGAATAGTACTTTCTCAGAAAGGAAACTTGTGCTTGGGGTCTGCCCAGAATTGGGAAAGTATTCCAGGCAAAGAGAACGCTGGAGAGCAGATTTTTAGAAGCTGATCACCCAACTGAAAGCATCTAAATTGTCCTGTGGACTTTGCAGAAAGCTGGGAGAGCAGTTCCTCCAAAGAAAGCAGTCTAGATAACCTATGACCTGGATGCCTGGAGCTCTTGGAAGAGAAAGAAGGGGTGCAAGAACCTTTGTGAATACTCTGGGGGCAGATAGGACATATGGCAGTACAACAAACTAGAAGTGATCGTCTCCTACTGCAAAATATAGAAAGCATTCATGAATGGGTTTATGTAGATAGGCATCTTGAATTCCCCAGGTCTCAGGGAGTCAACATGTGATCTTTTAGATTCCATGTGAAATTCTGGAATTTGACGCAATCGGTTTAGGGATTTTAGGTTCAGGATAGGACAAATACCCCGATGGATATTGGTACCATGAACCAGTTTTAAACATTTTAACTTGGTCTCCAGAGGCACTGGAACTACTACTCCTGGGACAACAGATGGCTCAGGGCGTTCTGCAAATCTGACTGTCTGTGGGTAGATATTGATCAGAGAGAAGCAGTGAGAGGGTAGAAATGTGAACTCTATTTTGTACCCCTTTGAAACCAATGACTGAGCCC